TTTGGTTGATGATTCCAAAGATGCAACATTCAGCCCCGAGATGCTGGACACAATTCTCAATGATTTTGCTTCCTTGGTTGCCACCAGCTCGGAATCTGAGGCCATCACATCGACCAAGCTGCATGAGCTTCTCCACCAATCCATCACCAACGCAGAAGGAGACAGCAGTTTTTCCATGGTTGGAGATGTAGAGAACTTTGGGGGAGACTTTGCAGGTCTTGGGATATGTTTTCATGGGGATGAACCAGATGTAGAGATGTCTGATGGCTTGGTGCATGTGTTTCAAGAGACCCGAGACATGTACGACATGAACGATCCAAACATCTACGTTGTACTGGATGAAGGGTGTAATTCAACTTGTCACTCTAAACATTGGGCTGAGGTGACTGAGAAGAAGTTGAAGAATTTGGGGTACCAGTTTCCATTCAATGACACCAAGGGGAAAACCTTCTCTGGATTGGGGACTGGGGGAACCTCGACAGAGGGATCCCGAACCTTGCCTTTCAGCCTGAATTTCGTGGATAGCCATTGTACACCCGTACATGGGGTACTTGAGACGCACCAGCTCAGCTCCGGGAAGTCACCACGTCTGTTGTCATTGCACGCTCAAGCCCACCTGGGACTTGTCAAGGATTTGAAGAATGGGACCATATCCATTGATGGTAACCAGTTGCCAGTTTTCAGATGTTCACACACAGGGTTGATGATGTTAGCAATCACACCTAACCAACTTGGCACCACGGGCAAAGAGTTCCATCACACTTCTCAACGGGTTCCAAAATGCCATCGAAAATTCAGAACTGCATTTGCCGCCTTGTCCGATTTGCCTGACATGCCACCTTCGACTGACCGCTTGAGATCTCCTAATGGATGCAGCTCGTCGAGCACAGCTGCAGTTGAAGAAGCACTGAATCACAGTTTGAGGGGACTTGATAGATCCCGGACCTTGATTGTGACGTCAGGTGCTCGATGGACGGGTCGTCAACCGAGTTTTCCGGGAGTGACCGTCTTGCAGGTGGATTGCAGACATTTTCACGATGCCGAAAATGATCGCTCGCTTAGAGGATGTGTTGGACGACACCCCAGCATTATGCAGGGACTTGCCGGGACAGAAGCCATGCAGGAGCTCATCAATCAGGTCAAAGATTTTTTGCGAACCAACCCGAATGGGAGGTTAGTGATCAATCTTTTTTGTACAAGCGGACGCCACCGCAGCGTCGCAGCTGGAACAATGATCTACCATTACTTGAACACAACTGATGCGCGAGAGCCAATGCTGCTTCACTATCATAGTCCAGAATGGCACGACATGTCTTGCGGGGGTCACTGTAGCCTTTGTGGCACAGCCGATGCCAGGGAACTCAGCCGTCTGATTGACAGGTTCCTCCCAGATGTGCGCATAGTTTCTTCGACAGTGCCAAGGCCAACATTGACACCTGCCAGGGGTCACAGCACAGGGCCGACAAGGACCCATAGCACAGTACCAGTTCCACTTCGAGGTCCTTTGCCCCCATCTCTTGCGACGACATCATCAGGAACACCCTTGACGCCGACACACTATCCCTCATATCCCCCTCCAAGCCGTGAGGCTGGAGCATCTCATGGAGGAGGTCGAGACTATGAACGTGGAGACCGAGATGTCCGAGATCGAGACCTTGCAGTTCAGGTACTTGCTAACCAGGTCCAGGAGTTGTCAGGTTTGGTTCGTCAGGTGTTGGAAGGAGACCGAGATCGTGGACGAGGACGACATCGGTCAGCATCAAGTGGTCGAGTGCGGGGGCGGCGATCTCGAAGTAGACGCCGTGTTCCGTCGCCTCGGACACCACCTTCGATCCCTCCGCCGAGGACACCACCGACACCTCCGAGACCTCCTGTGCGCCATCCTTATGACGTCAAAGGCATCAGCTGGAAAGGGAGCTTTTCAACATCTTGCATGAGTCTGATGGATCGCCCTATTGCTGGAACATCGACGAGGACATTTTATCTTGGATTGCTGACAGTATGAAGCTTTGGTCAAACCGAGATCGAACGATTTGGATTTGTGACCCAGATCTTCCTCAAGACGTTCAACAGTCAATGGGCATCCGTGTTGATGTGCGCATCAGGAGCCATGTCAGGAACACTATGATCACTGGTGGAAAATGGATGCGACAGAGAGGCTGGATCAAATCATCTTTCTACAGACCCAGAGACTCCGCAGGAGCTGCTTGGGATCGTCTTCAACGTGAAGGACCTGTTGGAGAGAACGTAGACTTGCCAGTCACGTGGTCTGACCTGATCACATTCTCACATCGCGACATGCGTCCACGAGCATACATGGGGCGCCTTGTGAAGCTGTCAGGTGATCAGCGTTTTGAGGGCAGTATCGCACCAAAAACGGAGCCCCAAAACGCACCAAAAACGGAGCCCCAAAAGAGCCAGAAATATGTCCCCAAAACAAAAGTCCATTTGCAGAGTCGAAAGAATCCTCCAACTCCACCACAGCCAAGTCGGTTTATGATTTGTACGGATGATGACGTGTTCAGGGGAAACCCCAAAGTTCAAACCCCAAAGACAGAGTCCACCGACTATGACACAAGTTCTTCAGATGAAAGTTCTGTTGCAAAACCTGTGAAGGTTGAGCTCTCCAATGAAAAACCCCAGCCTGAAAGTATCAAGAAGGAATCCTGTGATACATCGCCAGTTGGACTCATGGCCAGAGATCCAGATGGTCCCAATCCCTACGAGATTGTTTTGGACTCCGATTCAGATGTTGAGGTGCATGAACATGGCCCTATTTCCATCCAACCCAATGAACGAGTTACCATGGGTAAGAGGCATCGCAAGGCAGTGTTGGACGGTATTTCCAAGCTGAACAAACATGACATGATGATCCAAAATGGACTCGAGTTGATTCCCCATTCCAACCGTGATTGCAAGACAGTTGTGCTCACTTCCCATCCTTTCGTGTTTGTCCAGGAGTCTGGACAGCCTTCGATTGATGTAATCGACGTCGGTGTGGGAGCCAGCCATTTAGATCCTGAGTTTGACCCCAAGGACTTTTGTAACTTGCTAGATGGGTATCAGAACATTGTCATTGCCATTGGATACAACAGTTCAGATGATCCATTGGGACATGGGCGTTTTCTGGGGGAAGTAGAACTGATGTGTGACTTGGATAGTTGCGGGGTAGAAGAGCGTCCAACCCATGATCTGGATCCTTCCCTCAAATGGACTCCTGAGTACTGGTCGACCAACACCTTGGCAACTCCTTCGAAGTCCTTAGTGGTGGCGCAAGCTTTCACAACCAATACTTCTTGTCGACTCAACCCAGACAGTTCGAGCATGAGTTCCATTCGAAGTCCATCTGAAAGTGCCATGGAAGGGTCAAGTTCGGTCAACACTCTCCACCATCTACGTCTACGTTGGGTATAGCCGGTATAGCTTAGCATGGGTTCTTGAGGTTGTCTAGATAGGACTCCACCTGCCTTTTGGCCTGCTCTGAATAGTTCCTTGGCTTCCTCTTGAGCTCTGGGGAAAACATGGGCCTTGATTCGTTCAACCAATTGTTCAAGACCTCCCTCTTTGGTCAGAGTCTCCAAACCGAGATCTCTGGCAATGAGAAAGGCATCTCCACGAAGGCCCTCTACAATTTTATTGACTAGGACGCTCCGATCTCGACCAGCATCATCCCCTTTAGGGCTTGGACTGGCAGATGCTGCGGCTCCTTCATCTTGGCGGCCTGGGCGCGGGTGAGGTGAAATCCCTGCATCAGCTTCAGAGTCCGGCCCAACGGGCTCGGAACTCCTTCCGGTTGGGGAAGATTCTACTTCTTTCTTGGAATCAAACAGCTTTATTCGTAAAAGGGTCCGGAATTCCCAATCATGATAATGTGCTGCATCCCCATGATAGATGTACGATCCACTCTTGGTCTCTAAAGGAGCAGTGGACCGGTCAGAACCAAACCTAAGTCCGGCTACTGACATTCCTACGATTCCTTGCGATGGACTGCCTGTACCCAAGGTCAGCCAATTGCAGGTCTGTCCCACAGGGATCAGACGATTTCAGTGTGTGAAGTTGTTACAAGAACAATTCAATTCAAGACTTCGACGATTTCAATCCCTGGATCTAACACGTACCCGGAGTCAGGTCGTCACCTGCTCCGCTACCAATGTGAATTGGCAACGGTATCGTGCAGTCCAACAAAGCTTGTTTTGCTACTGGCGATAGCGATATAGCTCAAGGGCCCTATTAGCCGAAACGGCAACAGACAAAGCATGTGACAACCTGGCCTTTACATGGAATGTCAAAATACCACAAATTGACACAATGCTCATTCTTTTTCATTGCGTTCAAGTGCCCGGGAATTGCAGGGGCATTGCAGGGGCATAGTACCGGCATTGCAGGGGCGCTGCAAACAATATCGACGTGCGAACAAGGGGCAGCACCTCCCATCTTGACAAGCTCAGGTCCCTTGCTCTTCACGGCTGCAGCCATGGCATCAAACAAAGCCTGAGACTTCATGTTGCAGCTGGCAGGGGCGAGTGGCTAAGGGTGCAATGTCAAGGGATTGCGGCTTCAAACGGCTGCCGAGAGCCAGAACCGTTCGTCAGGGGCAGCGTACAACCACGGCCGCTCGCGTTGAATTCTAAATTTGTTCCGTTTTAAATTCGTGATCGGCTGAATCTGTTGGCCTTCTCCTACATTTGCAAGAATATCTCAAGAGTCTCAAGAGCATCTCTGGAGCAAAGGGCATCCGCATTTGATATCATTTGATCTCACCTAAATTTGGTTGCCTGCTCGTGCGGTTTTCAACAGCAAGGTGCGAGACATTTGAAGATCCTTTCGCCTCCTTTTTGCGCTGCAGCTTGGGTGCCCTCCAGTCCAAAGTGACTGGAGTTGCCCTACATCCAATCGCTCTCTTACACTATACCGTCAAAACATGTCAAAACTTGTCTGACACACATGATGGCTTCTTCATGCCTCGATACTGACCATCTTCAACGTCACCTTCACATCCTTCACTTAGCAGCCTCCAAAATGGACTGCAACTTCTGGGCCAGCATCATGTTGCCCTTGATCTTCAGCTTGCCACCCATGAAGGCCTGCATTCCATCCAGCTTGCCCTCCGCCATGGCCACCAAGTCCGCATCTGCCATAGTGATGGTGCAATCCTTGCAGCCAGTAATCCAGTAGAATTCAAGCCATTGCAAGCCAAGGGAGCCAGGAACATGATGACCAAACTCGATTCAACTATCTGAAAATCGGAGTTCAAGTTTTCTATGTCACCTGAAGAGACGTCAAATCATGTCAAATCATGTCAAATCATGTCAAATCTCAAGATGTGCAGTGAACAACGGTGATAGCAGTGATTCTGCTGAAATTTAGCTGCTGACCGCGCCGGCTTCTTCACCCGCTTTCGCAGCACCACTGCCGTTCTTCAAATCAAGGACGAACTTGCCCTCCGGACCAGCGTCGCTGATGATGAACTGGAACACCTTGGTCAGACTGAGTCAACTTGCATCAGGTATCATTGAATTGGGATTTGTGCGTTTAGTAGGCACCTTCACAATGATGACAATGCTCATTCTTTTTCATTGCGTTCAAGTGCCCGGGAATTGCAGGGGCATTGCAGCGGCATTGCAGGGTCGCTGCAAAGAATATCGACTTGCAAACAAGTAGCAGCACCTCCCATCTTGACAAGCTCAGGTCCCTTGCTCTTCACGGCTGCAGACATGGCATCAAACAAAGCCTGAGACTTCATGTTGCAGCTGGCAGGGGCGAGTGGCTAAGGGTGCAATGTCAAGGAATTGGGGCTTCAAACGGCTGCGGAGAGCCAGAACCGTTCGTCAGGGGCAGCATACAACCACGGCCGCTCTTGTTGAATTCTCAAGTTGTTCTGTTTTTAATTCTTAATCGACTGAATCTGTCAGCCTTCTCCTACATTTGCAAGCGTATCTCAAGATGATTTCTCTGGAGCAAAGGGCATCCGCATTTGATATCAGTTGATCTCACCTAAATTCGGTTGCCTGCTCGTGCGGTTTCAACAGCAAGGTGCGAGACATTTGAAGATCCTTTCGCCTCCTTTTGCGCTGCAGCTTGGGTGCCCTCCGGTCCAAAGTGACTGGAGTTGCCCTACATCCAATCGCTCTCTTACACTATACCGTCAAAACATGTCAAAACTTGTCTGACACACATGATGGCTTCTTCATGCCTCGATACTGACCATCTTCAACGTCACCTTCACATCCTTCACTTAGCAGCCTCCAAAATGGACTGCAACTTCTGGGCCAGCATCATGTTGCCCTTGATCTTCAGCTTGCCACCCATGAAGGCCTGCATTCCATCCAGCTTGCCCTCCGCCATGGCCACCAAGTCCGCATCTGCCATAGTGATGGTGCAATCCTTGCAGCCAGTAATCCAGTAGAATTCAAGCCATTGCAAGCCAAGGGAGCCAGGAACATGTTGGCTAAACTGACTAAACTCGATTCAACATTATTCAACTATATCAAAATGGAAGTTCAAGTTTTCTATGTCACCTGAAGAGACGTCAAATCATGTCAATTCTCAAGATGTGCAGTGAACAACGGTGATAGCAGTGATTCTGCTGAAATTTAGCTGCTGACCGCGCCGGCTTCTTCACCCGCTTTCGCAGCACCACTGCCGTTCTTCAAATCAAGGACGAACTTGCCCTCCGGACCAGCGTCGCTGATGATGAACTGGAACACCTTGGTCAAACTGAGTCAACTTGCATCAGGTATCATTGGATTGGGATTTGTGCGTTTAGGCACCTTCACAATGATGACAATGCTCATTCTTTTTCATTGCGTTCAAATGCCCGGGAATTGCAGGGGCACTGCAAAGAATATCGACGTGCGAACAAGGGGCAGCACCTCCCATCTTGACAAGCTCAGGTCCCTTGCTCTTCACGGCTGCAGACATGGCATCAAACAAAGCCTGAGACTTCATGTTGCAGCTGGCAGGGGCGAGTGGCTAAGGGTGCAATGTCAAGGGATTGCGGCTTCAAACAGCTGCGGGGAGCCGTGCAGTCCGTGCAGGGAATATCAAACATGAAGAGTGGGTGCTTGGGATATCCACTGAGGCTTACCCTCTGGTTAACTAACATAGCAATGGAAAATCACGAAAATTTTAATGGGAAAATCCACTATAAATGGCAATTCTCAATTGCTATGTTAGTTTACCAGATCATCCATTTTAGTAGGATTTTCCATTATAAACCATCCATTTTGGGGTACCCCCATTTATGGAAATCCCCAAATGATGTTTCTATTGAGCAATTGACATCCAACGGTAGACGATACCCAAAAACCAAGGCCCGCTGAGTCTTGGACACAGCTTCAGCGCCTCGCGACATGGAGGTGCTTCAGCCCACCGTGAACCCCAGGAGCCCAACAGGAATTTCTTAATCAATGGTCCATTACCCTCTGGTTATGTCAAAATAGCTATTGAAGATGGCCATTTATAGTGAGTTTTCCCATGAAAAATGGTGATTTTCCATAGTTATGTTAGTTTACCAGAGGGTAGCTGTTGAAAAATGTTAAAAAGGCCTCAGTGTTGGGGGTGTCCGTTGGTCACCTGAGTTCATGGCACGTGCCAGTTTGGTCCGCTCCACCTGTCTCATGGCTGTGTCTGGGGTAGGGTGAAGCGGATATAATACTAGTGGATTATAGTGGATAAATATAAAATCTATTCGCAGGGGTTGTATCAGCTATATATTCCCAACTTCTGGTGGTTATATATCAGATGTTATTGCCATGGTTATGCCCATTTATAGCCCCAACAGCAGCCCCAAGTTGTTGGGCTGTTTTAGCACCAACTTGGATACCTGGGCATCCTCAATGCTGCTCTCTCTGTCTCTCTCTCTCTCTCTTTCTCTTTTTTAAGCCAGTCGAATTCCAGTGCTCGACGACTCTGTTCGCCGTTGGGGCGGGCAAAGACCTGTTCGATGTCGCTTGGCAGCTTCAACGTTTCGGGAACAGCACCTTCCACGTGCAAATTGGATCGGAAACATGGGAACCACCTGCAACATCCAGGTTGCATCCGCCTGAGCTGTGCATATTGGCACAGCTCAGCACGCAAACTATGCTGGTAAATTCAGAAAGGCTCACTGCAATAGCCGGCATGTGGGCTTCAAGAAGGCTTCCTGTTCTCCCGATCTCAGGTGGTCGGCTGCTGATCTGTGTCAGCGAAAGCCTTGCTCGGCAGGCAGCCGGTGTCTAATTGACACGTGTTTCCGTTGGCATGACCAATTTTCGCAGCACCTCTGGACCTGCACAAGCAGCAAAGAACGCTTAGTATCATCCTGTAGGTTAAATCCTCTAAGAGCGACATCTAGCACTACATTTCAATTCATTGGTCAGGCCAACGAAAAGTGGAAGCAAATGAAAGCAATGGTCACAGAGTGAATGTGACACCGTCTCGAATCTGTACAAGCTGGCGCCGATGCAAATGGAAACTGCACACAGCGGAAGGAGCAACAAGGAGTCTGTACTGTACAATTTATCACGGCTTTACCCCCTTTCATCATGTTTGAAAGGGATCTTGCTGAGGGGGTGTTCAAACTTCAAGTCACTGAGCGTTTGGCATAGCAGGGTCATACCAGGGCCTACTCAGCCAGACTCAGTCAAGTATTATTGAAATGTTTTATTGAGTAAATGTGGAATGTGGATAAATAGCTGTAAGACAATTTAAAGCATACTGCTCTCATCCCCCTGATATTTTTGCATGCCCCATGTATGTCCCAAATGAATAGATCAGATATATGGATCCTATGGATGGCACATGGCTGGATGACCATATCATATACCATATCTGCCAGGTCGTTGACAAGACCATACAGTATAAATACAGTACACTAGTGCAGTAAATAACCATGGTATATTATGTAATATTATATAATATACGAGATGGTTTTCAGTCAATTGACCCTGGTGACCTTCAGTCAAGATTATTAGTAAATGTGCTATAATTATAATGTCTCTATTAAACAACTCAAATTATTGACAAGAATCTGGTGAGTAGATTCTCAGGCGGTGATCTTTTGCGCTGCGGTTGGTAGGTCAGTCTTCTTGTAGGCTTCGAATGCTTTGCGCGTCTCTCGATCGATGTTGACCAAACCCCACCACTCCTTCACTTTGCGAAGATGAAACCAAAAACAATGCACATTATGGCCCATCATGTCATGCCTTGTCCCCCGGGATCAAACATGACCAAATATAGATCATCACAATTCATAACATGTGTTCTGGGGAAGTCTCTTATGTCCCCTTTGCTGAGCACAGTACCAACACTACCAAAAACGGAATTCAATGGGGAAAACTGAAAAATTGCTCAGTTCTGCAGCACTTCCGAAAAATCTTCGCCCAGCCAACCCCAGCCAACCCCAGCCCTCGGAAACCCGCAATCGGCTCCTCGTTGAAAGTCATGTCTGGGTACGGACCCCCTCCGGGTGCGGTTCCGCCTGTGTCGTGGCGATCCTTTGAGCCGTCGTTGTCTTTGTGCCACTCGTCATCTCGGCGGCGCAGCGCTGAACCCTCCAATCTCCAGGGGCTTTTTAACGAGATACAACATGATACAACCATAAAGTGTGCCAAGAAAATGGAAGAAATTGCAGATCAAATCTTGAACTCAACATCAGGTTTGCATCCTTTGAAACTGTTCACATCATTTACCTAAGGACCATCTTGGACCTGTGGTGACAAAATACTCAGCTCGGCACTGAACTCGAAAATAAAACCACCAATGCACGACCCACCTTGGTGGCGCCGGGTGTCACCAGATGTCACCGGCCACTCGAAACACAAAGACTGGCTGTAATGGCTGGCCAAGAGACGGCCCAGCACTGAGCTTTGCCCCAGAATCTCTTCCTGAGGCTCCGGTCGCTCAGGGCTTCGGAATGGGGGGCGTTTCACGTGAACGGGGGAAGGGATTACTACTGAAGCTTCCATTTTTCGTGGATACTGAGTTGAAGCAAGCCAAGGCATACTTGTTGATGAGAATGCCTGTTAGGTGCGACCAAAGCATACCCCAAAACTGCCGGTTGATCATTGGTTTCCGACTTAACATGACTATATCAATTAGGAGGCATACCTAATTTTTGGACAAACCCAAAACCATAGTGGTGGTTGTATATCAAATTGAATCCCCAGAACATGGTTGGTTATATGTGCCTATCGTGGTGAGTTAAACCCCCAATCAACCCGTGACATCCAAAATAAGCATCATATTGTGTTATGTTGTTGGTGACTCCCTACAATATCCCCATGGTATCTCAATTCCCAATAAAACTAAACGGTTAAAGCAGCAAACCATTCATCCCCAGTATCGTATGCTAATGCAAACAACCACCCCAGATCATTGGTTAAAAACAACCATGATCTCTCTTGAACTGATGTTGAATCCACTTCAAAACCTTTTGGCATTGATGGCAAACTTATCCCATAATAGAAATTATTCAACGATTTTCGTTGGAAACAGCTGCTCCATCGACCAGTTTCTGTCAGTTCCTTGGTCGCTTTGGCCTGTGCATCTTGATCTTCTCCCGAAATCTTGGCGTTGAAGGCGTCCGCACCGTATTCGCCTGGGGGCAAAAACCGGCATGTTGATGTGGTAAGTAGGAAACGGAGGTTTCACCATGTGAAAAACCAGGTGAAAAACCATGTTTCACCATTTTAACCATAGAGATTTCACGGATTTTAATTGGAAATAATGGTGATGTAGTAGGATCATCAAACATGGCTAGCTGGGAAATCCGCTGCAAATGGAGGTTTAGTTCGCTGGGAAAATCATCGACAAACATGGGGGATTGTCCTGCACGCCATTTTTGATTCCGGGAGGGTAAACCCATGCAATAAACAACCCCAATTTTTACCAGAAATAGGTCGGTACCAACCATGAAAATGTGGTTATTTGGGTTTACCGCAGTGGTGGAACTGGTGGATATCCATACGAAATGCTGAAATGCTACCAACGTTGAGATTCAACATGGTTTTTGAAGATGTTTGGCCTCTCAGCATGAAGAATGCCGTAAAGAACTGTCTAAAACTTTCACGAAGATGCTGCAAAATGAAACCCAAGGCGCTTTAGTCTGGTAAAGCGCACTTACTCGTTTCAAAATCAAATACAGCAATGGTCAAAGCAAAAGGTTCAACGAAAACAAACTGTCCACTTTCTAGACTTGGTCTCACCTTTCAATTAAAATCCTACCATTCCATGTGCGTAATTCCATCTATATCCTTACCATCTCAATGACATGGAATTTGAATGAGTGAAGGAATACATGCTGGAGCCTGATTAAGACTTCTGCCATGTACTTTCAGCCGTGCCCGGCCCGCCATTTGCAGTCAAACTTCCAAAAAACATTGGTTTGCTTGTCGCCCCTTCGTATTGCTGAAAGAGGTTCCCAAAGCCTCAAACCAGCAAAATGCATCAAAATGCATCAACATGCCACATATGGATACATATTGGTGATTTAATTATGGGTCAAAATCAAAGACCAGGAAGGCCACAGGTTTAAGCCTATGTTTACATAGTATTACCCATCCAATCTCATCGAATTATTGGGGGTACCCCACTTTGGAAAACACTTTTTTGGGACCTCGTTCCATTTCTTTTGGACCTGGACACTTTTCATGGACCTTACTAAAATTCTTTTGGAGATGGCTGCCCTTCTTTTGGACCTGCGCACCCTCCTGCTGGACCTGTGCGCCCTCCTGCTGGACCTGGCCCTTCCCCAAACCACGCCCCCTTTGGATAGATTCTCCAAGCTGCGTCTTGGTCGCAATTCTTCAGACAGTAGAGGGCTAGAGCTGCGCTACCATGCAACATGGCAGGAAGCATGCCAGTACATTGTGTGGTTCAGTGCCTCCTTCCCTTTTCTGCCCCCTTCCCAACTCCTACTTTTCACACCTCTTCCGGCCTTTCTCAGTTGCGCAGGGGCTCAGCTTGGTGTCTACCTGGGTGAAAGTGCCTCACTTGGGGACATTCATCTGGTTTCAATATCTAAACTTCCCCCCTTTGTGCCTCTCATCAAACTTACTACATTTCCTGCATTCATTAAGTTTCAATATCTATACTTCCCCCCTAGCCTTTCTGCAACTTCTTGCATTCACCTTGTTTCAATATCTAAACTTCCCCCCGGTGCCCCTCAACAACTTCCTGCATTCATGTGGTTTCATATGTGGCACCCCCGTGGCCTCCCCGCAATTTCTTGTAAGCATCTTTCTTCGATATTCTAAGGCTCTCACACACCTGTGCCTCTCAGCAACTTCCTGCATTCATGCGGTTTCCAAGATCTAAGCTTCTCCCCCTCGTCTCTCCACAACTTCTTGCATGCATCGTCATATGGGTTCAATATCTTTGCGCTCATATGGTTTGAATATCTATATTTCCCCCCCGGCCCTAGCCTCTCCACAACTTCTTGCGTTCACCTTGTTTCAATATCTAAGGTTCCTCCCCTGTGTCCCTCAACAACTTCCTACGCTCATCTTGTTTCAATATCTAAACTTCCTCCCCGGTGCCCCTCAGCAACTTCGTGGAGTCATTTGATTTCATATCTGGTTCCCCCGTTGCCTCTCTGCATTTTCTTGCATGCATCCAGTTTCTAAATCTAGGCTTCCCCCCTCGTCTCTCCACAACGTCTTGCATGCTTCGTCATTTGGGTTCAATGTCTAGGCTTCACCCGTCATCTCTCAGCAACTTATTGCGCTCATCTTGTTTTAATATCTAACTTTCTCTTCCCCCAATGTGCCTTTCAACTGCCTGCATCCATTTGGTTTCATATGTAGGTTTTCCCCCGCTGGCCTCTCCACAACTTCTGGCCTTTCTGTTGTTTCAATATCCGAATTGCTCCTGCACCCCTGTGCCTCTCAGCAACTTCCTGCATGCATTTGGTTTCAATATCCCGGCTTCCCCTGTCTCTCAACAACTTCTTGCGCTCATCTGGTTTCAATATCTAACTTCCCCCCCATGTGCCTCGGATCAAACTTCCTACACTTCCTGCATTCATTGGGTTTCAATATCTATGCTCTCCAGGGAGTGCAGCGCCCCTCTCCTTGTGACACATTGGGTTTCCCAACCCCTTCCCATTCTGCCCTCTTCTTCTCCATTTCCACTCTTCACACTTCCAGCCTTTCAGTTAGGCAGGGGCTCAGCTTGGCGTCAACCTGTGTGGAAGTGCCCCACTTGGGGGCATTCGTCTGGATTGAAATACCTAAACTTCCCCCGCTGGTGCCCCTCAGCAATTTCCTGCATTCATTCGCTTGGTCTCAAGACTTCCCCTCTGGCCTCTTAACAACTTTTTGCATGCATTACAACTTGGTTTCAATGTCTAGGCTTCCCCTTGTCTCTCAACAACTTCTTGCGCTCATCTGGTTTCAATATCTAACTTTCCCCCTGTGCCTCTCATCAAACTTCCGAAACTTCCTGCAATCATTGGGTTTCACTATCTACTCTCCCCGTAGCCTCCCCATAACTTCTTGCGTTCATTTTGTTTTAATATCTAAGCTTCCTCCCCGGTGCCCCTCAACAACTTCCTGCATTTATCTTGCTTCAATATTCCCGGTGCCCCTCAGCAACTTCCTGCATTCATTTGGTTCTATATCTGGTTCCACCGTGGCCTCCTAAAGTCCCCCCCAACCTGTGCCTCTCCGCATTCATGCGGTTTCAATATCTAAGCTTCCCCCCCTCGTCTCTCCACAGCTTCTTGCATGCACCGTCATGATGGTTCAATATCTAGACTTCCGCTCCTCGTCTCAGCAACTTCTTGCGTTCATCCTTGTTTCGATGTCTAACTGTCCCCTCTCCCACCTGCCTCTCTCTCACCAATTTTCTGCGGTCACCTGACTTCAATAATATCTACATGTTCCCCCGTTTCTCTCAACACCTTCTTGCATTCATCTTGTCTCAAAATTTCCCTCACCCTGTGCCTGTCAGCTGCTTCCGGCATTCATTTTTGGGTCCCAAAAATTCCCCCTGTGTCTCTCAGCAATTTGTTGTATGTATCTTCATGTATCTTCATTTAGTTTCAATGTCTAGGCTTCACCCCTCATCTCTCAACAACTTTTGGCGCTCATCCTGTTTCAATATCGAACTTTCCCTTCCCCCTATGTGCCTCTCAATTTCCTGCATCCATTTCGCTTCATACGTAGGCTTCCCCCGTTGGCCTCTCCACCACTTCTTACGTTTTTGTTGTTTCAATATCCGAACTTCCCCGGCATCAACAACTTCTTGCATGCATCTTGTCTCAACATCTGCATTCCCACCACCCTCTGCCAGGTCCAAAAAAGCATGTACAGGTTCAAAGAAACAATGCTCCAAGGCCCAAAAACATCCAGCCCAATGTGAGCGCCTATAACAATGGAGTTCCCCCCCCACCTTATGGAGGCAAGGTCCACACGGGTCCAAAAAACAGAAACCGAGCTCAGAAACAATTAATTTGGTTGTCCAAAGAAATGCCCCTGGGTCCAGCACAAATACATGCAGGTCCCAAAAAAATATCTCCACAGGGTCCAGAAAACACACAGGCACGTCCCCCACATTTTTTGTGCCCCCAGGTACAAAAAAAATCCGGCCAGGTCCAAAAAACATGTATAGGTCCAAAAAAAGGGTGGTCCAAAAAACATGCATCCCCCCAACTTTGACCCATACCCATTTTCATGTTCAATCATGTTCAGAATGATGCACCCAAAGAAGTCTTGCTACATCTTGTCGCAAGTTGCATTCCCACTGTGCACTCTAAAGGCACAAGTTCAGAATCAAGATGAACATCCGAAGACAAATAACCAAATATCCTGACATCCATCTGAATTGGATTTTCCATTCTAAACCATCCATTTTGGGGTACCCCTCAATTTAAGGACCCCAAAGATCAAACCAAATCTGCAGTTTTGCGCCGGTTTCAAGGCTTGGGAGCTGATTCCTCGATAGGCGTTGATGCCCCAAATCTCAATCTCCGGCAGAGAATCGACCGCTTCATCCAATTTGCCCACATCACCATAGATGGATGCAATGGGATGGCTGGTGTCATGCCTGGCAAATCACATTTCTCTCATCAAGGTGCAGATCTGTCAGTGAAGCTCAAGATGCTCTAACCGCCACTCAGTGATATATGGTACAACATCAATAAAATATAAATTAATATATCAGTAAGACGAAAAAACGAGAACAACAACAATAACAAACATTGATACTAACAATAAACACAATAACACACCCATATTGGCCCATATGTATATATATATATGATATATATATATATATGATATATATATATGATATATATATATATGATATAGTACTTTGCATTAACAAACGTTAATTACACTGATAAACGGTAGTACCGATAGCATACATCAGTGCAGAACAATCATATACAGTAATGTAGAACAATGATACCAATGATGCCAGCAATTGTAACAACAATAATCCGAAATAAAGAAAAACAAACATGACAAACATAAAAACCAACGCATCAAATGGTTACCAACACAACAACAACAACAACAACAACAACAACAACAACAACAACAAAACAACACCATCATCCTCAACAACAACAGCAACACTCATACACACTGGTAACCATCAACATCATCACCATCATCATCATCATCATCATCATCACAATCATAATCATTCATAATCTGCAAATCTGGTTAGTAAAAAAAACACCCAGTGTGGCATACAAAACCCATGCCAATGCAGCATGGAACAACCCCTCATGTGGTCCCCAAGAAAAAACACGAACGGCGTGGCAAGCTGCTCCAGAATGACGTTCGCCACGTCTCTGATCCTCCCCACACAATCAAAGAAACTGCTTCCAACATACAGCCCATTGTAGTTCCACTCATTTCCTGGGACAATTTCTGGCAGAGGAATGCTATCCTGAACCGAAACGGTAGAGTTATGTAGATTCTCAGGCTAGCTGCGCAAATATACACTGGCTTGTGAATCTACCTTGCTGAATCCCAAAAACATTCGATGGTGGCACAAGAAATCACCAAAGATTGTAATTCAACTTAAGACTTCAGCTATCCCAATCTGAACTACAGTAGCTAATGCTGCTGAATCTCAAAGGTTCCGTTTGGGAACATCTCAACATATATCAACAATGCTGGCCAGGGATTGAGAACTCTCTGGTGGGGAGATTTTGTGATGACTGGTGACTACACCGATGCCATAGACCCAGCTGTTGAATCGATAAGAGGAGCTATGGAATTTCATAAGATTTTTTCCATCTTGGGAATAACTCACCTGAAGAAAAAGTGTCAGCATTTTTTTCTCCGGGCTTTGTTAATCCCATTTTATATTGCCCGTTGATATCGATATCCTATTGAATCCCCATTCCTCATATTCTTCAAATCGATAAATTAGAATTAAGTCACCACCATCAACCATCATCCACCCACCCATTGGGTGTTCCAAAGCCACCAGGGTTTACCACCACTGACAGCAAGTTTCCAATGGTCCACATCAGAATGGCAGGGTGATCCTTTGTCGCCTTGACCGGGGCTGCGGCGGAGTCGGCATCTGCGCCGCCCCAGTTGTAGACGCTGTTGACCACCCAAATGCCTGGCATTTCACGTGACTGACACCGTGTGGATTGGCTACTACCCTGGGTTACACAGTAAGTTAATGTAAGTTATACAGTTATACACTACCTGGTCACTACCTGATTTATTGATGTTTATTGGGGATAAGTAAATAGACATAATGGGAATAACTGTTGCCTGTTGTCTTACCAGTGCCAGTATAACGGGATGGGAAAACATGGTATTTTGTTAATAGGCTCAAGTGGGTATCCCAACCCACTAACTTCTCGGCCTTGGCCCCACAGGATGTCCAGCACCTGCTTATCCGTAATGGGCTCATATGTTCGTACCTTGTTGCCGTGGGCCCAAGGTAAGGCTGGCGACAAATGCAGTGAGTTGCGATGATCACATGAGGTGTTAACATGTGTTAACTACATGCCAGCATCTTGAACTCCTTCTTTCATCTTCTATGCAGCAAACCTACCAGGACCTACCAGCAAAGATGTCAATGTCAATGGATACCAATCTTCATCCCGACTGTCTTCATGGCAATCCAGGGGCCCAGCTGCCCCCATCAACCCCATCCACCCCATCCACCCCAACCACCTTTCATCAGCAGCCCATGGCATCCTGCCAGGTCACAGCGTTGATGCCCATCTTTTTCATCAGCTTGGCATCCTCCAGGGATTGGTAAATATCCATTGACCCATGTCCTCTATATACCTATTATATCCATTAAATATCATCCCATAATATATCTATATACCATATATACCATATATCCATTATATCATCCCATATATCATCCCATTATATGTGACCCATGGGGACATTGAAAATGACCCATGTCCTCCTCTACCGCTGAGGAGAAGTCCAGGTCTGCAGGGTGCGCACCGCCCTTGGGCACCGGATTCCAGGCCACGCCCTTCAAATGCAGCGGGGTGCCATCCACCAGGATCTGCTTTCCTGGGCAAAGAATGGCAATATATATATATATACACCACACATATATATATAATTACACCATATATCATATATATATATACATACCATATAATACCACACATATATATATATAACTAAGGCGATCTAAGATGGCTAAGCGAAAGAAGGGTGAGATGCTTCGAACTTCCTGCGAACAAAAAGGAGAAGGGGAACGGGAAGAACAGAAAGAGCGAGGAGAAAGAAAACAGAGAACAAAGAACAGGAAGAACGCTGAGAACAAAAGTGGAAAAGAAGCAGGAGAACATAATGAACAGGAAGGAGAAGGGAGTAACAAGTGCAAAAAACAAGGAAAACAAACATAGTGACAAACAAACGAGGAAAATAGAAAGAACTCGAAGAAGGAGAAGAACAACAAGCAGAAGAACAAGAAAAACAAACAGGACGAACGAGGATAACAAAAAGACAGAAGACCAAGAAGAACAAACACATGAGAATAAGGAAGGAGAAACAAAAAAAAACACGCAAAAGAGAAAGTGCAAATTCGGGGATAAGAAGGAACACGAACACAAGAACAGAACAATACTGCAACGGAAAAGTAATTGCTGCAGTGACTTCATGCATTCAGTTCTATTGAAAAAAAGCATTTACCAATGCTACTGGTAGCACTACCGCCGTCACAACCACTAGCACAAGCGCACGCAGTACCACTTCAGTACCACTACAGGGGCAGCAGCGTGGTCTCCCATCCCTCAAAAATACGGTATTTTGAGTTCGTTATCCCAGCTGCACGAAGCAAACCATCAAACAATGTGCAAATAATCAATCTTTTGGTAAAATCATTTGGGGATAATCATTTGGGGGATATGGAGTATCTGGGATGGAAAAAAACACATAGAAGACTTCGGGTCAAATACGAAAAGGGATGAACACGGTTTCGCCACATTCAGTTCAGTGTCCCACAACTTGAATGCGCTTGTTGGGCGACGGCGTTGGCGTTGTGGTTTGTGTGGTCTTTGGTGGTACTGGACACTGCGGTGGAGCATTGCTCTTGCCGCACTTGCACAGGATGTCTGAGGTACCAGTGATGGCTTGGTCGCAAGGCACTTCATATTTCACCTCGACATCCACGCTGAGGGGAAGGAATCTTCACAGGAAAGACGTAAGCCTATTGATTTGCAGCGTTTTTGGCGGTTTCTTGCCATGATTTTGACTAAAACCACCCCAATCACTAAGAATTCTATGATCATGAACTGGCACCTGGCATTGAAAAATCCAACTTCCCGAGGCAAAAACAAAAGAAACATTGATGAACAAAAGCCACGGCTGGAGCTAACATAGCAGCTAATAGCTATAACATGCTATAACCCCCACCTCGCAGTTCTCCTCCTGCTCTTCAGCAGCCATGATACACACTTGACCAAAGCTTTCACAGTATTGATCACATCTGCCGCCGTATTTCTCCGCAAGGACCAATGCCATGCAGTCTCCACAGGTCACGCCATTGTCCACCTCAGGAGACCCTTCACGGTCCCATGGCGCTACCTGCCCCTTGCTCCACCTGGGATTTGTACGGCATTGCATACGCTAAACATTACTGGTTGGTGGTTTCAGTTGGGATGACTATTCCCAATATATGGAAAAATGTTCCAAACAACCAACCAGTTAAGATCATCAAGTAATTGCACCTTTGTGGTTGAGCAACCCACCTGAAAACCGATCGAGTCATCATAGTCCTCTCTGTAAAAATATCTTTTTCGCATCCATCCCAATTGGCCCCGTGTGGATCCGTTTTCCAGATTTTTGGATGGATGAAGCGCACTGGCAAACCGTGGCACCATGCCCTGTGGTTCCGGGGATAACCTGCAGGATGTTAACATGTTAACCTATTTTAACTAGTCGAATATTTCATCAAAAGAATCAGTTCAAGCCCACCAAACTGAATCCAGTGACATCGGGCCATTGGTCCATGTTCTTGCAGCAGCTCTTCTCCGGCTTCGGGGGCCCAGGCCAATCGCAGTGAGGATCATCTACCTCCGCGCTTCGCTCAGTGCCGGAAACCCAGCAGTACCCGTGAACATGTTTCTGCAGATCTGTATGACAACGTCCCAAGCCTGATTTGACTTTTATACATGGATTTGATTTCTAACAGCTAACAATCCTCCGTTTTGGTGTCCCAACAAAAGATATCAAACTGAGAATTTTAGGTTAGTATCAAAGTGTCAGTTTGTTGGTCTACGTACCCCCTTTATACTCCCCAATATCGGGACATTCTACGCCATCCCTTCCGAATCAGGGAGCTCTTGGCTTCCTTCGACAGCTGCAGAGCATATCTGAGGTGTCCTTCACAGGCTCGTTGCAGCCTGAAGGGATGACATGGGATGACCTGCCAGCAAAATCCACCCATTTTGATGGAGGAAACACGAGGAAACCAGGGAACCTAAAGACCTAAACCATGTTTTTTTTTTTGGGGGGGTGCCATAGTACAGACACAATGACAATGACAAAGACGTGAGAAATGAATTATAATTGATGAGCCTTTATTTTCAAATACCATGCTATAGCATACCTACTTAGTTTCTGGTCTGGTGTATCAAGAGCGACTTTGACATGAAAGGCATCAATAGCTGAACTAAGTGATGAAGAAACAATCACCCAATGTATCGAATGTTTGCTGCCGAGCATCTCTGAGTATACTTCACCTCACCTTAGCAGCAAATGGATGCATTTAGCACATCTTTCTGGACTACTACAGGTGCTTCCGAACCTTTTGAAATTTGACACTTAGCCACTTATAGTTGATTTTTTTGCATGACAACATCTCAAGCAGTTCAACAAAAAGAACGTCATGTATGGTGCGATCAAGCTTCAGTTTTCCTCAACCTCTTCAGCTGCTTGGAAACATTCGTGCCCGAAGCTCTCGCAGTACTTGTCCTTGCTTCGGTGGGACGTAGACTGCAAAGTCTCTGATTCAATCTTGCAAAGATCCAAATGTGAAAAGGTAAGCAACCAAAATCCAAAACATGACTGCTGGTTCGAACCCACCCAAAAAACAGAAAGGGATCAGAAAAGGACCTCGACCCGCACGCATATGTATACATATATACATAATATATTCAAAGATTAATTAATACATGAGAACAAAACATTGAATTCTCATTGCTCATGCATGATCAACTAGCCGACACAAACATGAAACACACAATGGCAACCCCAAAGAGATAGAACAGTTGGAAAGCTGGAAAATTAAGGGGAACACATCAACACTTCCACCAATCCATTGAGATGGAACATCGCCATCACAGAACACATATGTCTCATATTACCATACAGCTAGTTATACACCAGAAATCCATAACCTCCCAACAAAAACCTCCCAAAACATCTATGATTCGTATGACAAAAACTACCTACACCAGATTGATCAAGATTGGAAATTTCCAAGGCTCGCAGCGACCTTCATAGGGCTCGGTGAGAACCAAGGCAGTGCAACCAGCACCTTGCCATCGACGGGAGATATCATGGGATTTAACCAGCAAACATGGGAAGATCATGGGATCACCGCAACATAATATGCAACTTCATCTGGCTGAATTATGATAGTATAATTATAATTACAATTAATGATACATATATATAATATCATAACAACAATTCACTAACCTGAAAATCGCTGAAATTCTGGGCTATTTGGGGATGATTCCCCGAATACGAACCATCATTTCAATTATTATATAAAAATAGGTTGGCTTACAGTATCTTACAGTCATTTGGTAAAGAATGTCAACTACCTAAGATCGAATATATTCCCATTGTTAATTGTTAACTACCTAACATGTAAATTCCATTTTTAGATTTTTTAGTAGACTATGCTGCTTGATAGTTGTTCATGTTCCCAGAGTTTGCTACACTTCTCCCAGTAAAATGCGATTGGAAATGCAATTCTTATTGGGATGGGTGCACAAAACTATGGGAACATGTCAATATCAATTACTCTTATCTATATATAATGGTATATATACAATATAAGTAAAGGCTCTTATAAGAATGGAATTTCTTATTGCATTTGATTAGGACAAGCACGGGACATGTGTATGGATATTGCATTTTATTGGGCCAGCCTGCAACTCCAAACGATCAGACATAGCCATGGTGGTTTCCCCATTGTGGTTTCAGATGTGTACTGGGATGATCCCCCGAATCCTGACAATCATTTATATAATAATGGTTGTGATGTCGCTATTATTTGCCCACTTCATTTAAATAAGCAGTTGCCCCTTGTTTTGGTATTGAGCTTGCTCATTTGGGGTTCAATGTGCAGGGCTATTGGAGTGGGGATAGGATTAAGTTGCAATTTTGTTGGCTACCCACGCTGACTATTAATGCCTTGTAATTTGTAATATCTTATCATCTTGTATCTTGAAGCAATCACAACTGTCTGATCTGAAGTATATGTACTCTAGATACTGTATCTTTATATAATACAAACAGTGGCTTTGAACCACTGACCAACTGGGATGGTGATATGGCTCCATAAGGGTTTTCCCTAGGATCAAGGCCTTTTAGACGAGGCACTTACTTACTAAATCAATCTTGATGGCTGCGGGTTGCATGTGAGATCATGTGAGTTTGGAATGGCATACTGGTAGGATGTTTCTATCTGACACATTTTGAAAACATAAGGCGCACTTCAAGCGCAAACCACCCAACACTTGGATGCACCCACGGAGTTTGTCAGGATGCCCCGAAATTTGATCACTAACCGACTAATCATGATTTTCTCTACACAAGGTCAATTTCAGGGCATCCGGCTATCCCCATTTTACGTAGCAAACCCAACTTATGAACAAAGCCGGGCCGCAGGTTATTCCAGTGTCCACATTTGGCCAACTTTCATAGCCGTCACAGCAGGGAGCAGACTCTTCAATGCCAGTGGAACTCAGATTTTGTTGGCCGCGAATTTCAACAGTGGAAGTCTCTGTTTCTTGAGGACCCTCCCATAAGAATAGTGAAGATGATAAAGTGAGGCTACAATCGGCTACAAAAATTTTTCATCAGTGAAAACCTGCAACAACTGAGACTTGTGAAGAATACCTGAGAATCTTCAGACAATGTCATGCACTTCGGAAACTGGACCCCCGCAGTAGAAGGGGGATCCAGCGACTCATGAAAACCATTGATCCGCGGCGATTTCTGGGCCGGTAATCATGGCCGTGGCGAACATTTCTGGGAAATCCCCATGGCCTAGCCATGGAGGTTTAGTTCGCTGGGGAAATCATCAATGGTGGATTGAAATTACCCTCTGGTAGACTAACATAGCTATGGAAAATCACCATGATGAATGGGAAAATCCACTATAAATGGTCACCTTCAATAGCTATATGTTAAATTACCAGAGGGTACCAGCATTTTGAGATATTCCACCAGGGAACTTGTCAATGGTTTCGATGTTCGCGCCAGGTCTTGCCCAAAAGTTGTATGGACTACCTGCAGGCGTGGCCGGCGCACCTGAAACTCATGAGCTTTGTGAGTCATTCATAGTCATTCTAGATTCTAGATGTTTGGGTAAATTTCAAAAAATGCTCCAATCCCCAAACAATTATATAAAACAATGGCGTGACCTGACCATTTGTTGAATCCAATGTTGACCTAAGAATTATACCATCCTAAACCCAGAGAAGGACCATCGCCGATCGCATGCACTTTTCACTTGACCGACACCCTCATGAGCCTGCTGTGCAGCGCGATTTTCGAACATTCCTTCAGTGCGAGCCAAACTGATTGCTGCAACAATGACGGCATATAGCAACTAGCAACCCCCAAAATAGAATATATAATAATATATACATTAAAATAGATAGAAGCGTTGGAAACCTGGAAATATGATGGAAATATGGGGAAATACCATCCAAACCATCCTGGAAACACCTTTCTATCTTCCTGGGGGTTACCGCACTGTTGACTACACTATTGAAATGCAAAGACTGGTGCAACATGACAAGGTTGCTCCTGAACGCCTACTGTAGAGTCCTCATAAAAAAAAACCATTGGTCTACGGCAGAGTCTATGGCATGATTCAAGGGAAAATTGACAGGAGCCCCCATATTTTATGGGAAAACCGTGCTTTTCTGCAGATTTTCCCTTAAAACTTGACAGTTTTGACATGTTTTGACTAGTGTGTGTTTCCACAGTTCACGGGCGTAGTGAGCCTTCCGATTTTGACATCTCGCATGGAGAGGGTCATCTAGTGACGGGTCTGAAGATCTGTCGGGGAAAAGTTTTGATTTGCGTGCTGACCTGTAAACCATAGTAAACCGACATTTAAAAACAATGTGTCTATATTGTCTGACATATTGTCTGACATCCCTCTCTCTCCTCTCCTCTCCTCTCCTCTCCTCTCCTCTCCTCTCTCTCTCCTCTCCTCTCCTCTCCTCTCTCTCTCTCTCTCTCTCTCTCTCTCTCTCCATCGCCATCTCCAAGAG